TCTTCCTCGTACTCAGTCAGCCAGTGTTTATTGGACACCTATTGTGCACCGGGCCCTGTAGTAAATAAAGGTGTGATTACAACTGCAGTAAACACTATAAAAGAGATGTACACGGTGCTGTAAGGGCCTGTAACTGGGATCTATGCGATGGAGAAGCAGCTATATAAGGACCTGTGATCAAGATAAATGAACTGGTAAAATTTAGAAAGTGCTGATAATTAAGTTGGGATTGAAGGAATGAACAAACTTTAACTAAAGAAGGGAATGGAGGTTCAGGCATGATGAGCGGTCTGTAAAGACTCCGGCAGGGACAAGAGTCTATGTATCCATCAGAATTGGCCGCGTAACAAGTTGTTCTGAAAGTCAGTTTCTTCAAACAACAGACACGCTTTTAAACCTCACTGCCGAGACAGAAATCAGGCTAGACTCAGCCAGGTGCCTCTAACAATCCAGACAAGACTGTAACTAGGGCTCCTGTGTTTCCCAGCTCGTGCCCTCAAACCCTCTGGCAAGTCAGCCTGGACCTCCCTCACGCAACAGACGAGTCAGCCCCTCTCCTACCCCTGCAATTGCTCTCCTTCTGTTGACCGAAGCAAGTCACTTGGCTAAGCCCCAAGTGGCTGTGAGCAGGCACAGCGCACCCCCAGGGTAAGGGAGACATGAGCAAATGAGGGGCCAGGGCTGTAAAAGTCTACCTCATGTGTTCAAGGTCTGAGATAACAGGATAGGGACTACAGGGTGAAGGGCAAGGGGGGCAGAGGCTGCAGAGAGCAGTGGGAGAACCCGGATCTGTCCTAGAAGCGGGGACGTTCTCATCTCCGTGTCGTTTGATCATCTGAAGAACGTCTGCGTGGCTGAGTTAGTTGTGCGCTTGTCTAACAGGCTTGAAGTTGGAGTCTCAGCACCCGTAATTCCCAGTGTGGTAGCACACGCTCATACTCCTACTACCCAGGAGGTGGAAGATCAGAAGTCAGTGTCTTCCTTAGCGGCCTACTGCCTTTGAGGCCATCCTGGGCCACATGAGATTGAGGCAGCTGGGTTCCCGTGGGTTAAACACACCTAGTGGCGTGGCAAAGTTTGCTAGTTTGAGAAGATGAAGGTTGGGGCTAGTTCAGCCCACACATCCCTGGTGCAGCCTCTCCCAGCATAACACCCTAGCCCTCCCATCCACACTGTGGCATGTAATTCTCCCCAGGTTGGGAGCAGCCTTCTCATTCTTCTTGAAAGGACAATTCCTTCCCCCCTCCGAAGACCCAGTTCAGATGCCACCACTAAAGTGACCCTGACTTGTCTAATCTCCAAGAGCATGAAGAATGAGATCTTAAGGTCATCACAAATGACATTTCTAACATCAAGAGGCTATGTGGCCCAGCTGTGTCTGTGGTTAGACCCATGGGTTGCATTTACTGCGTCCATGTTTTCACTCGCTCACATTCACTGGCCGGTTTTGCTTGAAAGAATTCTCACACCCGTAAAGCCTGCATCTAAGAGTCAAAACTGCGTGAATGTATTGAATACATGTACAAGTGAATGGTCTCATCAGTAAAGAGCTTTCTCCCAAAGACACCAGGCATAGCGGTGGCAGTGATTCCTTCCATCTGAAGGAATCTCTGGTGTCTCCCAATTCTAACAGAAAGTCACTCTCTGAAGGAGAGGGGACCCTGGCTCAGGTTGGTCACAGGGGAGCTGCCTGAGGTTCTAGGGAAATGCCTCCATCTATAAGATGTTCTCTGTGCAACCACAAGGACCTGAACTCAGTTCTCAGACCTCTCATTTTAAAAAGCCAGGCAGGCTGGTGTGAACTTGCAATCCCAGCGCTGGACCTTATTGGCCAGCCAGCCTAGCCTAAGCAAGCCCCAGATCCCAGACAGAGACCCTGTATCGGAAAACAAGATGGACAGCTCCTGAGGAACCTCTGGCCTCCACACACAAGTGCACAAACGTAACACACGCAACTAGTCTGCTTTATCAGAAGAAGGACCGTCTAGCAGTGGTCGTGGCTAAAGTCAGCCTTCTCTGATGTTAGAATGGCCGAGCAGCGACCACAAATGATGTCATAACATGAAGTCTTTCCCACAGCCTGGGTGTAAGTCCTGTAAGCCAGAAAGCAGTGACAAGCCCCACCCTGCCCACCACTCCTGGCAGGCTTTTCAGACTAGCATTTGGTTCTGATAGTGTTGCCTCCTCTTCTACAAGAGAGGACCATGAATCCCAGGGAGATCCACCCTGGGTCCTTCAGCTACCTTCACAGTGCAGGCCACTGAGATGAGAGCCCCAGGTCCTCTTACACCTATCTATGTCCACGTGATCAGGAATGGAAGGGAGATACTCACGCAAGCAGAGGTATGTCTCTGCCTTCCTTTCCCATTCTTTCTCCTTCTTGCAGCTTGGGAAGTCATTATACAGTCAAGGGCACAACCTTAGGAAGATGGAAGTTAGAGCCAGGGCCTGTGATATCTGGGCACATGACCTGAGACACCACTCAGACCTTCCTGGTGAGTGAGACTGGAATAGGCTAGCTCATCACACAAACACTAGGGTGGGCCCACTGAAAGGGAGGAGGAAAGGGGGAGTTGAAAAGGATGCGGAGTGGTAGAAAACCTGTGTGGTACAGCAACACGAAGCAGTGCAGAGACTAGAGAGAGGGCTCAGTTGGTAAAATGTCTGCTATGCAAGCATGAGGACCTGAGTTCAAATCCCATCTAATAAGCCAGGTGCAGCTGCAGATGCAGCTACAACCCCAGTGCTGTGGGCAGAGGAGAGTGGAGGCTTAATACGGCTTGTTGGCTCTCGGTAACAAACTCCTGGCTCAGGGAGAAACGCTGCCTCAGAGAAATAAGATGGAGCGACAGAGGACACCTGGTACCTTCTTTTGGCTACCGTGCACACCTGCACACAGGTACACAACCCACACACAGAAATTCATGCACACCCAAAAGAAAAATGATAATAAAACAGCATGGTCACTATAGAAAACAGAGCAGCTCTAACAATAACTAAAAATGATTGCCAGAGGGTCCAGCAATCACACTTCTGAGTATACTCTCTGTCCACAGCTGTTGAAACATGGATACAACCCAAGGCCCACTGAAGATCTGATGGATAAACAAACTGTGGGCAGTACTGGCCCTACAAAGGAAGGATGGGCTGATGTAGTGTACAAGGTGATGAACTTTAAGGACATTGTGCTCAGGGAAATAAGCCAGGCACCAAAAGACAAATGTTGCCTGATTCCATTTATATGTGGTACTCACAGTAGTGAGAAACACACAGACAGAAAGTGGGATGGTTGCTAGGAGCTGTGGGAGAGAAAGGGACACGTTGATTTGCAGGAACAGACTTTGAGTTTTACAAGATGAAAAGTTATGGGGGAGGATGGTGATAAAGCTTGCATACTATAGAAGTATTTAATGAGATGTGCACTTAAAAACAGTGAGGACGGAGGCTGGAGCGATGGCTCAGCGGTTAAAAGCACTGGCTTTTCTTCCAGAGGACTAAAGTTTAACTCTCAGCGTGCACAGGCTCACAACCAAGCATGACTCTAGTTCCAGGGCATCCAACGACCTCTTCTGTCCTCCACAGGTACCAGGCATACAGACAGTGCGTGCAACCAAAACCCCACACACATAAAATAATGGAGATGGTGGTGATTGCTGAAGCTCCAGATTTATTGTTTTATGGTAAATTCCATGTTCTGTAGTTGGGAGCTTAGAGATGGCAGTCTGGGGCTCGTGCTCTGCTGGGAGAGGGGGTTCGCTCCTGGGCCGATGGGCCGGCTGCTTTTTGGTTCTTAAATCATGGTAAAGCATACCATTTTTATTTTCTATTAAATGTCATGTTATGTATGTTTCTTCAAGTGAGGACTGGGGAGCTTCTTGTAGGAGCCTGCTAGATTGCCCAGGAAAGACAGGGAGTGAGCGCAGCAGATCCCCAGCAGGCCTGCACACCAGGAAACTTCTCCCCAGCTTCCTTAGCCCCAGATCTCCTAACTGAAGGAGGTACATCTGGTAGAGAATAGGCTCATTCTTACCTCACGCCACTCTGAACCCCAACACCATAACTCCTGTTAAATACTTTGGGCCTCCGGTCAGAAGATGCCACCCATCTCGGCTGATGAGAAGGTAGTAAGACTGAAAGGGCCAAGCCAGCATGGAGAGTGGGGTGAAGTGGAGGGGGGACTGGGGTTCATATGATCATAATAGCTTGTTTGTATGTATGCAATCATCAAGGAATTTAAAAGGAATACTCTAGTTCTTTAAAAAAAAAAATTAAAGTTCCGAACGACAGGTTTGTCATTTAATTCTCCCTTTTCTCCCTCCATCTCATCTCCAAAGCCAGGACTATCCAGAGCCCATTGATTAACACTCATAAGGCCCCCAAATCACACTCAGACAGTACTGCACACTTTTATTTACAGAAAACACAATTAAAGCATTTCAATTTTCATCTAGCAAACTGATCCACATTTTTTGTCTTTTTTTTTTTTTTTTTTGGCACAAAGAAATATCACAGAGAGACCCCAGGATCAATCAGAAACTTCTAAGATTCGTCAGCCATTACTGATCCAGGGGTTGCCACAAGACTCAGACAGACAAGCTCAGCACAAACCAGAGAGAAAGGAAGTAGTCCCGGTTCACCTCACAGTAAAACCCTGCTTACCACCAGGCAAAGGTGCGCAGGAGGGGCAGGTGCCCCATGAGAGGGAGTAGGAATCTGGGGCAGGAAGCAGGAATGGGGGAGGGGTGATCACTTTTCCTAAACTGGGAGAGCTGGTCCCTTTGTATCCATCCCTTACATGAGAAGACAGTTGCAGAAGGTGGAAGTTGTGTGCTGGGGAGCCTCTTCTTGTATGCCTGTGCCTACGTGTGACTGTGTGAGTGGGTGCCTGTAAACACTGTCCCCATCCACAGAGGGATTCAACATCCTCTGTCCCAGTGAGTCCCCTCTGAGACGTAGTGCAAATTTCAGGGTCAAAGAGGCAGGAGGGAGGGGAGTGGGCAGAAGTGGGAAGGACACACAGACAGGATGGGAAAGGCAGGAGGAGGGGAGCGGGCAGAGGTGGGAAGGACACACAGACAGGATGGGAAAGGCAGGAGGGAGGGGAGCGGGCAGAGGTGGGAAGGACACACAGACTGGGAAAGGCTGGAGGGAGGAGAGTGGGCAGAGGTGGGAAGGACACACAGACAGGGTGGGAGAGGGAGGAGGGAGATAAGGCAACAGTTTTAAAAAACCGTCCATAGCAGGTCCACATCAGCAAAACCAGAGCCACCTGCCTCCCACCCCCACCACACTCGGGTCACAAGAATGGTCGGAAATCGCGCTCCTCCACTAGGCTGATGGCCGGGTTCTTCAGCTCCTCCTCCGAGTTGGCCATTTTGTAGCCCAGCTGGGCCAGCACCTGCTGGCAGGCATTCTGGGCGAAGGCCACAATGTCATAGGAGAGGCGGAAGCGCCACTTCTCAGCCGTGGCCGCAGAGTTGCGCACTGTGCCATACTTGTGCTTGCCCAAAGTGGGGTCGCCCCGTGTATTGTTCTGAATCCAGCGCGCCACATGACCGTCCAGCGGTATACCCAGGAATTCGTAAATCTCCTCTGTCTTCTTCATGGGGTTTCTGGCCAGGTCCTCATAGCGCACTAGCATGTACTTGCCCTTGAGCCAGGAGGGCCGCATCAGGCCAGTGGACACGGAGCTGGAGAAATCCTCGCACACTGTGGTGAGCTGTGTCACATCCAGGTTGTAGGGTTTCCTTCCTGTGCCGTACCAAAGCCGCCAGAGTCGGTAGGTGTCCCGGAAGGTCTCACTCCGGGAAGCTAAAATGCCACGAGGGTCTCGTACCAGCTGGATGACCTTGAGGTTCAGCCTGGGGTCTTCCACCAGGGCTCGAAGGTCATTCACCTCAGGCACCCGTACAGTCTTGATGGCCACGTGGCTGCGCTCACGGCAAGCTTCAGCTGCCAAGGTCAGGTTCAGCAGGCCGCACTTGCGCACACAATCCCCCTCCTCCAAGACCAGATCAGGGGACCCTGGAGGGTCGCACACTGGACGGGAGCAAAGGACCCTGCTGGCTCCTCGGCGGAACACCCTGTCAGTGGTGTGGTTGATGGGTGGCGGCTTGATGTAATTCTCTAGAAAGTAGAGATCACAGTCATAAAGGCTCCTCAGCAGGTCCCGGCTGGCCCCAAGCATGACCCTACGATCTGCGGGGCTCTTGCCCTGGGTGAAGCGGGGAATGAGAGTGTTCTGGACGTGGTAGAGAGGCTCAAACAGGTAGAAGACATCCATGTGCTGGTTGAAGAGCTGGCCCACAAAGGATGAGCCGCTGCGTGTGGTGGCCAGGATGAGGATGTGAGTCTTCCTGGAGAGGTTATAGGAGAAGGTGGGGCCCTCCTCACACAGCCGCTCTGCCAGTCCAGTCTCTGTCAGTCCAGGGCAAGTGTGGAAAGACTTGGCAGTGAACGTGCGGATGGCTGTGTACTGGATGGCAATGGAGGCCAGGGCAAGGAGGAGGACAGCCTTCCAGGAACATTGCATGGCTGGGCACCGTCATGGGGCTGCTGCTCCAAGGCACAGGGTCTGTGGACAGAGGACAGCCAAGGGTTAAGTGTCTCATATAATCAAGAGTCTTCATGGAATCCAGGAAAACACCCAGCCCTGCCCAGTACTCACACATCCTTTAGGACCTACAAAGCCTGCACTGGACGGTCATTTTCTTGGTGTCTCCTGGGAGCTTTTGAGAGCTAAACAGATAGATTCCCTGGGCCCCAAGAGCTAAGTAAATTGTGACTGCAGAAGCCTCCTAGAGTGAGCTCTGGCTTCCCTATGCCAACCCACTTACTGTGCCAAAGTCCAATTCCCCCAACTCCTGCATTTAGGGGTTGCCTCATGCCACACCCTGTCCTTGCCTGTGGCTTCTGCCAGCATCTCCTGGATCATGAAGATCATCTTCTAATCACATAGGCTGATACCCAGCTTCCCAGACACTGCTCTTTCTACCCATCCTCTAGCTACTCTCCGAGGAAGGAGATACACCCACTTCCTCCCCCAAGACACAAGTCCTAGAGAGCAAGGACTTGTGCCCCACTAATTCTAAGTTGACAGCAGAAGCCAGCAGGGCCAGAAAGTGTCCACATTGGCCCTTCTCCCTTGCAAACGAGGGAGCCCAGCTACCTCCAAAGGGGGACTTCAAGGCACCTTTAGTGTTATAAGTCAACTGGCCTGGAGCAGGGGCAGATCCCAGAGGCTGCTGGGATGTGTCTCTGCCCAGGAAACAAGGCTTGCTTCTGCCGGTGAGGCCGTGATGCTCACTGCCCAGACAAGCTGCTCCTTCACCCTCTGGTCCACAAGAGAGAGGCTAGCAAGGGGCCATAGGAAGGCAGAAAGGGAAGTACATGCCATGGGCTCACAACATGCCCCAAGCAATCTTGCAAGGTGGCCCAAGGGATGCTGACTCAGTAACCATGTCCCAAGAGATGCCAGGGCTGCCCCAGACCCAGGGTCAGGGACCTCAGCACTTACCGAAAAAGGACTGCTGCCCAGTGGAGACTCGGCTGCCAGTGTCTCAAATCCAACCTGTCCAGGAAGTGCAGTGATCTGCACCTCAGGCCTGTGGCCAGCAGCTGCAGGGACAGTGGGCAGGGTATGCTTGGGCTCCATTCTCCCTCTCTTTATCCCACAGTCTGCTCCCAAGGCACAGTGACTTTGCCTGCTCCCTTGCATTGACTCAGGGCTCCAGCTGATCCAATACCATCCATGAGCCACGAAGCCCAAACTTTCAAGTTGCAACCTCTATTGCCCACCCCTCTCCCCACAACAAGCCATGATACTTCTGGCTAGCATGCATGCCCAAGTGCCTGAGGTGGCAGGCCCAAAGGGGTTCTGTATTGGAAATGAACGGAACAACCCTGACCTTTCAGAATTCAACTGGTCCTGCGATGCAGGCGGGTCACCCAGGCTTTCAGGTAGAGAAGGTAGCTCCAAAGGGACAGCTGGGGACAAGGGTCTTCTTTCAACCATGTGCAGCATGCACGACAGCTACCTGAAAACCAAAGGCACACTTTACCAAGCCCCACTAAAACACCAAAGCCAGCACGGCTTTAGACGGCACCTACTAAGCGCTCACACAGCGCTAAGCCATTTACCCAAACGAGCAGATTCACTCTGTAAGCAGGTCTGGGCCCACCCCACAGGCGGCAGTACCTGCTGGGACCTATGGCTTTAACCCCCTTCTGGAAGCTGTATACTTTCTCCCCAAGACACAAGTCTTTCTCAGCTCGGGCACACCTGGCCTTCAAACATGCACCCAATTCACTGTCCCAGCCCACCCATGAGCCAGCATGGGAGGGACCAGAACCGAATGGGAGGAGCTCTGAGACTCGGAAGGCATGTTCTCTTTTGCCATTATGCCTGTTATTGGTTGGCTCGTGGCTGGTAGGTAGACTCCATCTGACGAGCAAACAGAGTCACCATTTTGGATATTCTGTCATTCCTTACAAACTGCTCTGGTAGATCATGGGCCTACTCCCATTGCTCGGGTGGAGAATTCAAAGACCACTGTATGACTCACAACTGGGAACCAGCAGGGACCTGAGTCCCTCTGCAACAGTCTGGCCAGCACTCGAATCCCTTCACCTTTGGCTCAGTGTCCCAAGGAAGAAGGCAGAGCCTGCTTGCCTGGGGAGTAGCATGGGGCCTGGGTCACAATGGTAGAGGCTTGAGATCTGGGAATCCCATTTAAAATGTGAAACTCCACTACCACGTGTAGAAATCAGTACTTCATCACCACCGAGAGGCAGCTAATAGGGTAAGAGGCACAGTCTGGATTCTTGGGAACCTCTCAGTATGATCAAAGTCATGGTCTGGACCTCACTCAACATAGCCCCTGTGGCAGAGGACGCTGCCCCATGGAGGGAGGGCTGAGGAGAGTGGGAAGCCCTCTTTACTTTAATCTCAGGTCCCTGCCAGGTGCCCCAAGAGAAACCCAGCACCCTTCCAGTCAGGGAACACCAGCAACAACAGAGCCCCCTTTCTTCAGCTGTGACTCCACCAAACTCAGTCACGTTTCTTCACAGGCATCTACCAGTGATCTAGACCACTAGGTACTGACCGAAGACCACAGAAAGTCAGCACTCTTGAGGGTTCCCTGTCTTCCTGTGTGAGTGCTCAACCCCTGCCCCACCTCAAGGCTATGAGATCAGCACCCCACAACCCATTTAGCAGAAAAAGAAGTTGAGGCTCCTCAGGTTACAACAGCTTTTTCAGGTTCATGCCCCAAACTCATGTTCAAATCCATTTGCAGAATCTGGTCCAGTGCCACCTCTATTTCATCTCTGGTCTGCATCAAGACAGGGTTCTTTGGCCCTTAGCACCCCACCCTGCAATTGCAGCTCTAAAGATAGAATACGCACAGGTCTCTTCAGAGGATAGCCATGCTTCTTGCCTAGGAGAAGAGGGACAGTCCGAGCTCTTTCCTCAGTTTCCCTTCCCACACCACTTGGAGAAACTCAAAGGCAGGTCTAAGAGTTGAGGTTGTTCTCAGAGATGTGGTCCCCTAAGGTGAGGAGACTTCTCTCAAGGTACAGCATGGGCACTATGGGCACAAGTTTGAGATCCAGCTGAGGACCATGTGCCCGCCTTCCAGGAGGGCAAAGGCAGAGCATGAGAACAGGAAGGAGGATGCTAGGACCCACTGAATGTGCCCTGATCTCCTGCCAGCCTGGCACAGCCAAGCCCAGAACTGGCCAAGGGTCCTTGGTATGCCAGAGGCATTTGTCCTGGAAACCAGAGGCCCGGGGGCCAGGTCTGATTGTTCCCAGGCAAGTCTTGGCTTCTGCAAGAGACTTCTCAATGCCCTACTCTTCCAAGATAGACTTGGGGGGGCCACACCCCTTCCTGGGTTTCCAGTAGTTTCTGGTATGGCCTCCCTCGTTGATGGGTCAAACAAGAATCCAGAATCCCACCTTCTTGTGAGAAGCTAGTGCCCACCCAGGAGAAGGTTCCGACTGCAGCAGCACAGTCAGGAGTGGAGGAGGATGCTGCACAGAGAAGCTCTGATTTGCAGCTAAGAGCTTAAACCAGCATCACACCAGCTGCCAATCAGAGGGCACACACATCGGCTGAGCACCAGCTGGGTCTGAATTCACTTCTGCAGTCTCTAAAGGTGGCCTAACCAGAGCAGGGGCTGTAACTGACATGAAATATTTATTCATACCCAGCATTATGACAAGACCTTGCCTTGCAATTGACAAGTGACCTCTGGCCCCAGCTCCATGGACCCCAACAAAGCTCTCTTAATTTTTGCTTTGCTTTTTTGCCTTAGGGAAGCACCTCAGAAATAATTACCTGCACCCCTAGAGTCTGCTCTAATAGAGGCAGACCTCTGTAAGACTTTGCCTACCACTCTTTCCCAAACCACTTACCCTACCAGAATTTTCTGCTCTAGACTGCTGCGGTGTTATTTCTGCCTACTCTAGTGGTCAGAACTGGTAGTGCAGCCTCTTAGCTTTGTTGTGTTGGGAATAGAGGCTTAATGGGAGGGCCAAGTGTCCTGTGGTGGGTGGGAGGCGTGGTGTTGCAGACTGCAGGAAAGTGTTCGATCCACAAAGAGGCAAGCAGCAACAGGCAGTCTGGCTTTCTACTCCTGACCTTCCCCACTGCCCGCCCCACAGTGCCCAGGCTGGAGAAGCAGTATTGTACACAATGCCACTAGCAGGAATGCCCTGCATCTTCTGCCTGTCACTAGGTTAGTGACACTGGTTCACATCTATTTGTACCTAGAGTTTTCTTCAAATCTCTTTCTTCAGATCTTAGGTCTCTCTACCTTAAGGACGCACCCCATATTCAGGGCCAGCTGAAAATATGGGACAGAGGGAAAACCCCGTGGACAGTGGGAACACTCAAGTCACTCTCCAGGAGAGAGCAGCATTCAGCGCCTGCCCTCCCCACCAACCAGCTCAGTCTCACTCCCCATCCCATCCCATTCTCCTCCCAGGAGCAAAGAGGCTGTGGAGGGGTGGGCACTGCTTACAGGGAGCTTTGAGTTTATTATATTTGGGAACAGTCCTGTGGAGTGACCTCATCCCCGGGAAGGAGCTGGAGAGGTGTCTGAAGACAAGGTTGGCCACTGAAACAACTATCCCTGACCCGTCTTAGTGCTCCCTTCTTTGCCCTGGTGACACCGCCAATCAGCCTTCTCCTCTCCAGCCTTCAACACGCCTGGTCAAGGCTCCATTGCCTTAGTCAAGCACTAACCCTGAGCAGGTAGACCTGAGGGACAATGGTTGGCTGGAGGTTGCTGAGGTCACACAGGACCTGCAATAAGCAGGGCTTTAGAGAAACCGAAGCCTGCAGGGAGTGGTTGAGGCTATTCTTGGACAAGTGACTTCTTTCCCCAAAATGTTTTTCTGACAGCCCGGGAAGCAGGGCGCAGAGAGCAAGAGAAATGAGCCTGAGCATCGGCCACCTGAACAAAACCACGGCACAGGGACTCCTGGGCTCTGAGGGCAGGGCACTTGGGCAGGGAGGAGCTTAGCTGGAAGGCAACTTCAGGAAACTGCACATCTAAACCCACTGTCAGCTCTGATCCACCATAGATGTTTGTTTGGTTAAAGTTTAAAAGGAAAACAGCAAGGGGATTTCTTTTCTATCAAGGAAAATGAGGTGATGAAAAACGGGGCAAAGAGAAAAGAAGAGCCGGGAAGTATGAAAGATGGCGCCAGCTCTGCTCCAAACACCAAGTAACTTGTGGGTTTATGGGGTAGAGCTTCCTGGCAGCCAATGGGAAAAGGAAAATAACTCAGCTACACGCTTTACAGGATCCATAAGATAAAACACATGATTGTAAGATATCTGGTGAACAGAGGCTGGAATCATGAGATCTCCCAAGAGATCTCCAAAGTCACATACTACCAAAAAACCAACAAAACCCAAGGACAAGTTCCCGAGGGCTGTGTGCTGGAGCATCCTTCAGAATTAGCAGTATGGCGGACACAGAGAGACGTTGCAGGTGTTCCAGTCCGTGGAACAATGGAAACAAAGTGCTCCTCTTTGCTGCCACGTCTGTCTCCACTTTAACCTCAGTAAGGTCTGCAGGTCTTTCCTGCGGGAGCTGCGTGACAGGTGTTATGTGCCCACCCTCTGGAGTCCTTCAGCAGAACCAGACACTCTTTTGAGCATCCTCAGCAAGAACAGGTCTTACTGTCAGGGTTCTCGAGGTCGACCAGCTGTACAGAGGGTTACTAGTCCTTTTTCATTTGCCATAGGCACACTGCGATCTCCAGGCAGGTCAGTCCCGTATCCACGAGTGCAAGTCCTGAGGACACAGGACACGCCTGACCAGCTCAAGCGTCTTCATAAAGTTGTCATCAGCCCTGAAGGAAAGACCTGCATGGGGAGGTTGGGTGGGAACCTCCTTCCAGCTGTTTGGCGGCTCAGAACCTTTGAACCAGATCCTCAGCCCCTGCTGCCCTCTGTTGCTCTGAGGTGTGAAATGAGGGAAACAGAGCAATCACAGACGGAAGCAGGAAGCAGAGGATAGGAACAGCTCAACATAGTGGGGTATAGACAAGATTCATGAAGGGGTGCCTCTGGTGTGAGTTCAGGGACTAGCCTGGACCACCACAATCCTGGCTTGGAAATGCCCGCCCATGGGGCTAGTCCCACCTGCAGGGACCTCAGCTTTAGGGGAAGGAAGTTACTTCTGTCCTGTGTCTAGTGGCCTGGGAGCAAAGTCCTCCCTGACATGGGGTGAGTGACTGCCCTCCTGTGCTGACACAAGGGCCTAGTATACAGGAACCCGAGACGAGAGATGAGTCAGAAAGCTGGTCCCTGTCTCAGCCAGGCCAGCCTGCGAGAGGCGGAACTACTGCCCCAGCACCAGACGGAAAGGCCCCGGTTTCCTGTCCCCCTGAGCACAGCCACGCCGGTTGGAATAGTACTAAGGCCCCACCCACTGGATTCTGGTTTGGTTTGGGCTTCAGTCATCCTCCCAACTTCAAGGATGAGGAAACAGCAGCAGAAGCTGGGCACCACAGCTGCTAC